CGCCCACGGGGAGGGGTACGAACAAGCGTGACGTACGTTTCCTACTTTTATTGCAGCGAGAACTTAAACCAGATCAAGCTTTCACAGCCTTTCGACATTTCCAAAAGAAGTGAAACCGCGACAGCGGGGGTGATGCGGACTACGTTCTAGACTGGTCATAAACTGTGCTATAAAAATTGTCGTTAATTTTGGAGAATCGCGAGATGAATCTTCGATTCGATAAATATTTGGTATCATGTAACGACAAGTGATGAAATTAATTTTTCTCTGAATTCACAATTAGTTACGAAGACGTCTACGGAAGAATGTAACATAGTAGTCTGTTTCTCCAATTGTCTGTATCAATATTAATGATGAATATTTCTACTTAATATGTACACTTTTTTTTAATAATCCGTGTATATGTTCAACGACTGTGTTGACACGTTGACACGTCAAATGACGTAAAAGTCCTTAGATGAGTTTAATCATCATTACTAACTTCGTTACAGTGTAAATATGAATACTCAAAAAATGTCAAGACTTGTGAGTTGATACTTCCTTCGCAGTGACGAAAAACACTTCTACGAATCATCGTCGCTACGAAAAGCTTTACTCATTGCCAGGAAAACTTCGTAACACGCCCATAAGTGGATGATCGAATAAGTCGATGCGTCAGTCGACTCGATAACAATTCTTCCATGAGGACAGCAATAATTAGATAAGTTTTTGGGGTGAACATGAATCCTAGAAGGAACGCAAAACATTTATCCCGTTTTTGCGGTTTCGATTTGAAACCGCAGCATTCTTAACGTCCCGTGGTGAACGATTTGATGCCCCGCGTAAACGACACCAAATGACGCCAACGTTTCTTCTGGCGAAAATATTTTTTTGTCACGCTCGTCCATTCTTTTTACATCTGGTCTATCTTGCTTCTTTTTTCCCAGTTATTTCAAACGAGTTTATAAGAACATAATTTGTCATGATTATTGACATGCACAACAACATGCGTGATAAATCAACATTAATTAAAACAATGACACGTTCAATTGGTTTATGCATATGTAGATGCGTACTACCGAAGACGTAACGAAAACGATACCACGATAAGAAATCATTTTCGCGTTTTTGTAAAAACACGAATACATTTGTGAGTTTCGAGGAACGTCTTTACCGAGAATACGACGCATGAAAATTCACGGTTTTTGCATGACGAAGGAAAAAAGTGTCACGTCGATTCTGATCCAGCAGCCCAGCGAGAAGCCGGCAGAACGACACGCAACGATCTAGGTATGCCGCCAGCAACTTGAAACGTTCAAGTTCACCAGCCCCTGGCGATTCGCGCCGACTTTTCGCCGGCGAAAACTCCGCCGCGGTTCCCTCGCGTGTTACGCAAAGGTAAACCGACACCCTGACTTTTTAGCCCGTAACGCGGAGCGCAGAACAACCGATCTTTCGCATTTGTGAATCGATTAACTTTCACGGATCGTTGTACGATCGACCGGACGTAGAACTGATTTAGCGAGAGTCGAAAGAAAGATCGTTAGAAATTGCCTTTCCTTCGCACACCGACTTTTGTTGCTCCCGATTCCTACTGAGATTCCCGTACAGGTTCTCCTATGGTCGATTAAGGGTAATTGGTTTTGAATTATCGAGCGTCGTTTTCAATCTTACACTTTTCCCCGTGATACCATCGTTTCGATGATTTGATTGCCAATTCGGTCGATATGCTCGCGTTTCTTCGGAGAAGTAGAATACATAGTCTTTTTCTAGAAAGCAAACGCGTTTCGTAAGTACTCCGAATACCATCATTTACATTGTACGTCTACGTCCTGGCAGGGATCGGGACTTCCTTTTTTTTTCATGGAAAGTATTCTAAAACCCGTTAATACGAATTCCTCTTAAATGCATAGCCGACATTATTCCAGAGCGCAAGTAAAATTGCAACGTGTTTACAATCTGAATGAGGCAAAAATAATTGATGAAAATATCTATTAATAATGTATAACTTCTGTTTTTCACCGGCTAGGACGTGTTATGAACTTTTTTTACTGACAATGAGTTATCACGCATCATCAATTACTATAATTGAAATAATGCATGTCAAGAGGTGCAATAAATAAGAAAAACAAGTTTCCCGGTAGGTCTACAGTCGACTTTGTACATATTGTATATTCTACATTCGTTCGTAAAAAAGCGCTATGAAGCTGCATTATTATTGGATAAAGTCTAGGCGCGCTAATGATGATCAAATTAAACATGATAAACAGTCGTAACTCATGCAAGGAAAATTATAGAACATTTAATAAAACAGCATGTAAATAGTCTCAAGGAGATGATACGGAATCGAATGACGTTGAGTCTCGGAACGGCGAGCCAAAGAAAAGTCGTCTCTAACGGTGGTTCCGCACTCGGAAAAGGTTTCGCGGTTGCATTTGAAGAAACGGCAACTGGTTTCGTAGACGAGTCCGCATCAAAAGTATCCGGAAATCGTACAGATAAACTTTCTACGCTCGCGTTGTTCAACGAGACCTTCGATCATCGATGGTAGCAATGATTCGCCGGATTGCAGCAGGACTTTGTCTGTGAGATTATTAATTATGATCTCAGTACGACATGATCTATCGGACTGAGATGGGAGATTCGAGATACGCAGAGGCGAAGATACAAACCAATGATTAATGTAATTGGGAAAATGTATGTTTCGCTGACAGTGGTTGCGATCGATGTTAATGCATAATTGATGGACAATAAATATAATTAAAAGATAATGTTGGTACTGACAGCGGCAGATCTGTACTCTTGGTTAAATTCAAGTTTCCACTTGAATGTCAGTCCTCTGATTTCAAGTTACATAAAGGAGCATATTTCAACATGTTAAGAGTATTTTGTCTGAAAACACGCAAAGGCCCAAAAGCGCGTTGCGTTATCATGATCCTTAAGAATAAAGAGAAAGTCGAGTTTCTTTTTTTTTTGACCACCTCAATTTGTGGAATATTACTTTAATGGATTTTTTTTAAATTTCGCTACGTGAAATCTTAGAGAAGCGCGTCTTATATCATTTAATATTAGAAACGACAAAAAGATTTTGCAAATGTTTATTTATGGGGGATTGAAAATAGATTCCTCTCCAATTTTGAGTAACACTCGGCTTGTTTCGACACGCGAAAAATTGATGTGCTCATAAAGAGAAAGTGATATCTTTGCGAAATCTTCTCTTCAGGGTGAACCACGTAATTTGATCGCACTCGTTACTACCAAATTTATTTTGCATCAGATAATTGAAAATTTCTTGACACCGAGTGGCTCTCGCAGAAATGATTTAGATATAGCATCAGAAAATTTTATGTTCATTGCAACACGCATTTAAGTAAACGTTACGATCGTACAGAGAGGCATCACGAACTCGTTACGCTCTAAAGAAAACGTAGCTGTAACGCGACGTTTAAACGTTTTGACAGTGACTGATCATTGCGAAATGAGTGAACTTGTCCTAAATATCGAATAATAGTCCCAGTAGTACGAGTCAACGTAGCGTGTAATGATAAAGCGAAACCTGCCCGAGGGAAACAATGCGAAGGAAAGTTCCATGGTGGCACGTAAAATCGGCATTAAAAAGTACCGTCAATCTTAATCGTTTAAAGAACGTTTATACGACACGACAGAATTCACACATTGGGAATGTGCAAATGATTCAATTTGTCCCTTGTGAATCGAAACCTTTACACGGAAGAGTCGATTTCAGTGAGAGATTTAATGTCATTGCTGGAAGAAAATTTATACTCCATCGAATGAAATACTTGAACTTTACGGTATTCATTAAGGTGAAAGGTCGTCCCTGGATGAACTGCTGCAAGGAACGCGAACGTAATGTAATACTTTAAACCGAAAGCCGAAACTGTACATGTGTGATACTTTCCTAATGAAAACCCCGACGGAGATCGAACCGGGGAATAACGTAGAAGCTTGTGCGAAGTGTTTACTGGTATCTCGATGTAGAAATTGCAAAATTCTACCGACCATGTCTTTCCTTCTCTTTGACGTATCATTTTCGGAAATGATCTTCGTGCGATACCATTGAGATTAATATTTCATTGAAGAAAGTTCCGTAGGTAAATTAGACCGAGGATATACATTGCATAGTAATAATTCGATATGGTCTCGGCTTTCTTCCCGAGACTACTTGAATGAATCTGTGCATGTCTACACGATCGAAAACAGGCAAAAACGAGACGTTTGCTTTTAATTTCTAAATTAGATTATACCGCGTAAAAGAGTAATTTGAAAAATACTTTCTCCTGTTATTTAACGATCTTCACGAATATTTCCTAAACCTGTTCGACCAATGCGGAAGAATTAAACGTATAAAACTATCGGTCACTAATTGCGATAAAGAAAAAAAGGATAATTACACGTGAAATAAAAGCGGACAACGGGACTTCCCGTCAGCTGTTAGAAAGTCCGGCCGTTAGAAGTTCAATTGAATTCCACCTAGCATGAAAAATCATTGGGAACGTGCACGACAATGATTTAAAATCGTGAATCGAAGACCGAGTGCTATCGAAAGTATGATAAACAGCAAGTGTGTCAAAACGACTTACACGACAGTTAAGAACTTTCATGAGAAAGGATACGTGTTTTAACGCGCAAAACAAATCTTTCATTGAACAAACAGTGCTTAAGAGCGCATTGCATAACCGATTATCAATCTTCTATTGAAACCAAATACCGTGTAAAGCGATGTACCATCATGGTTCTACATCGAATCACAATTTCAATTTTCCTCTTTTTAGTCTCCATTCCCCAATGATTAAGAAATGTCGTTTTCTAATTTCTGTGCGCAGCTCTCATCGAATGAGAGCATCAGAAGTCGCTTGCTTCGGTACGCAGGGGTTAATCTCTGAATGTAAGGAATGGGGCTGACAGCCGCGGGCCGTCGCGGCCGCAGTCTTTGCTCCGTCCTGCGTAACGTTCACATTCTTCGCCACTTTCGGATAACAAAATTATTCATATTTACTTACGTAAGGTCGCCGACGGACGTTCCCCGCACGCGTGCACAACCGGGTTCATTAACTGGCCAGTAAAATCCCTGTTTATGTAACGCACAACAGTTTCGTGGAGGCGAGCGGACAGAGAGAAAAGAAGCACGCGGCAGGTTTCTCTATCGGCAATGTGCTACACGCATGTATTGCCAGCCATGCTCATTTAAACTGCGTGATCGCCGTTTCCCTTGCTCACGATATCCCCCGAAGTATTTCCTCTTCAACGGTTTCGCGTTTTTTTCCAAGTCCTGACGATCGCCCGCCGGCCCCGGTTCCCGCGTTACCGTTCGGTCGCACCACCGCTGACCGTCGACTTCACCTCCGTTCCCTTTATATCGATTTCAACTGACTCCCTATGACCGTCCAGTCAGAGATTCTTTGTAAAGTTTGACAGATTCAATTTTAAGGAGAGGTGCCACAGTTCATGACGCTCGGATTAGCAGGTGTATCGGTCAGGTACTGATCGAGGAAGAATGATTTATTTCAATCGTTCGAAGTTCAATGTCTGTCTGCGGTTCTCGCACTTGCAGAAAACACAAAGGTCTGAAAATATCCGATGTTGTCACTTGCGCGTTCACGAGGTTCGGAGTATCCTGAGAGACTCGCGGACGTCGAATGGAGCACCGGAGGGTCGGAGACGGAATCACCGAAAGCTGCACGGGTGGTATATACACGCGTGTACCTCGGTGGTGTCGAATCGCGAGGTGAATGAGGAGATAGTGGAACAGTAGTGCAGTGTGGACCACGGTAACGAGAACGCGGTGAGCCCACCAGCCGACCGGGCAAAGAAAGTGGTAGGGACGGCACGCAGCAGGTAGATTCAACGCGTGCCCCGAGGACTGTCTGCGCATCGGATCTCCATCGTTCGTTACCGGATTTTCTTTCGTACAGCGTAAGTATAATGAATGACCAGTCCGTCGTTCGACTCTGCTGACTAAGTATACTTCGATCAGGCTAATACCAAAGTGCAACCAGCGCGCCACTTGGATCCACATGGCTGTGCATGTGCATCGTTATGGTCTCGCCGCGTTACTTTCGACGACACGTTGCAACCCCTCGAAGGTCGCGCCACGGTTCCGGAAACTAGAATGCACCGCTTTCCTTTCTAAGACGGTACATGTTCAATTAAGATCAAAGTCATCGCCACATTTTTAAAAAAAATGAAGTTTTTCATAAATCGACGCTGTATAGAATTTGAGAACGAGACTCGATCTTTGGAATTTACATTGTACAGGTATCATGCTCGCATTCTTACATGCATTCGAGTTCTCTAATCGTAAATCAAATCACAGTTACGCGAAGATACGTAGACGACGTGTATCATAGCGGTATTAAAGATATTTTAAATCATGAAATATGTAGTTCGTCGGAAAACGTGTGTGACATTAATTATATTTTAACGATCGGCAAGCAATGAAACAAATTAGCTTAGTGAACTACGTTTACATTCTCTTGTCATTATACACTCTCTTAATTTATGTAGGTCGAATATACGAGCATTCAGTCGGTGCATTTTTTTAAAGTCTCGCTTGCGCGCCTGTTAAAAAGTTTGGAAAGTTGCAGAACAAGATCTCAGAGGAATAGTACCATCGCCGAATGCAACGTCGATATGCATTACCGACATGGTCTCCGTGACCCATTTTAAATTCGAAATTTATGGGCATTAAATAATATCTTTATACCCAGGTTACAATTAATTAATCAAGTGATATTACGTACCACGTACCCAAAAGTTTGTCAGCTGCCTGGGAAAAGACGAGCTATTCGAACGTACGACTAAATGCGGAAGCGACTGGTTTACGAATGGTACGATTAGTCTCTAATATTAGTAATTATTGATCTAATGGACACGTGTGATAACATGTGATAACACATGAATATATAGAGAATGTTTATAAATAAAACCCACGTACTGTGAACAAACAAGAAATTTTTTCTCTTCTAAATGAACACATTAATTTATTATATTTATATATACTTTTAGTGTTGTACAACACGTAGGATATACGAATAAGAATGTTGCAATTCGTTTATTAAATAAGTAATTCACATTCCCTTACTTATCTAGGTTTATTAAAATTATAATAACACATTTTAAGCATATAAGTATTTGTACCTCTTGTTTGTGTAATGACAAGTAAATTAGGTCAAAGGCAATCATGCTACTTTTAAAGTGCTGAAATGCGGAGATTGCATGATCGTATCTGTACACGAACCGACTTGGTTTATGAACTGTATAGAGAAACGTATATGTATACTTGCATAATATACACGTATAATGAATGCAATTTCCTCATCATACAGAAATTAATTGTGCGTAGGAAAGAAAGGAAGGCATAAGGCCTGAGACTTAATCTTATCAAAACCGAGGTTTAATCATTCTTAATTGACTGAACGTAGACATCACAAATACATAGATGTGCAAAAATATCTCTTTGAAACGCTTAATTACATTTTCAATAACAATTTTTTTTCGGCAGGATGATATCTCGGAAATGCTAAACAACAGTAACAGAGTCACAGATCTTTCAACTTGAAAACTAATAAATCGATCTGTTTTATATAATAATTGACACGCTTGACACGATCTTCTTATATCAAATCCTCTTATACGTAAACCTTCCAACAGATAGAATGGACATTCATAGTATGTATGTGAAATTATTAAAAATTCGATGAATCTTTTAAATATGATTTTTTTGCAATTGAAGAATTTGGTTCATTTATTTCATTATGGTGTTTCTTGTCTGTTTCATCCCTCCTACTGATTCCTTTTATATTTTTCCCGTCTTCATCAGTTCGACTGTTTCTAAGGTGGAATCTATATCACCAGAATACCAGGATTGGGGTAAGTATATAAAAGTTACCTTCCGGAGGGCTGTCTGGACGCTTGGAGCAGAGAACAAACCCAGAATCAAACTGATAGATAATAGTCATTTGACGGATTTCATTTCATTGATGAATTTACGATATAAATAATAATGTTATATCGTTTTAAACTATCTATCCATATATGAATTTCTAGTTTTAATTTAAGTCGCGTTTCATTAAAACCGATGCAGTCGAACTTGAAGTATAAGAGAAAGAGAGGACATATAATATTATAATGTGAAATCGTTTTACAATTTTGTCGAGACCTTAGAACTGCACTCTTGAAATATAAAAATTTCTCTTAATGATCATGTCATTGTATTCAGGATTTAGAATAGGTTTTTGTACAATATATTTTAGAAAAGAAATTAAAAGAAACCGGGAATGTCACACCGGAAGATATCAAGTGGGCGTATGTACCTGTACCTATACATATGTATAGCTGTAACTGCGGTTGATGTATTTATACAAGAGTAATCTTTAATGAATAATTTTGTGCGTTATAGAATTTAGCATTTTTTGTATTATATTTCATTTGACAGAGGAGCCTTCATTGAAAACTATAAATAAATAATCTATATCATTCTGAATTTACTGTGACCTCTGCTGTGGCCAATAGAACCCATGTATTCGATTTGCTATAGTACTCGTTTCGTCCGTTGTAGGTATACAACCTCAACTGCGATCCATCTGTTCTGTTCATGAATTACGGAACAGTTAGAGCAGCAGCTGGAAGCAATCGTAATTATGTCTATAGTGGATAAAATTAAGCATTATCAGCGAAATATTGACAAATGCGATGACAATGAGGACAGAGTATGTATTGGTGTAGTGCTTTCTGTCGTCTACGAAACTTTAGCGACGACCATCCTTCCGTTCTGTCGATGTCGTCGAGGGATAACCTCAATGATGCCTAAACACTTATTACAACGATATTCAAATCCTGTTAATTATTGTTAGCAATCGGACGTATATATAAAAAATAATCTCTTAGAAAAAAATAAATTCGCGTTACGTTTATAATATTGTATCTTCCGTTTGCTTTGTTCCCAGTATGAAGCTTAATTACATATACAAATACATTTATTTTTACGTATCTCTGCCAATTTTTAAGTAATACATTTGGACATCTTTGTAAAATACTTTATAAATCAATTGATCTTTATTATAACACCTTAAACTATATCTAATACAAAAATTGTATCATAAATGATATATAATTACAAGTAATTTACAAGTGATTCTAAATACATTGCAGATATTACATTGTATCTCAAAGCTATCTAATCTACCAGTAACAGTGCAACATCTCCAAGAAACTGGTGTAGGTCGTACAGTAAATGCTTTAAGGAAATACGATGGTGGTGTCGGAGATGCTGCTAAAGCACTCGTCGCCAAGTGGAAAGCAATGGTGGCTAGTGAAGATACTAGCGAAGGAGAAGACGAGGATGAAGCATGTGTCCCAGACGCGCCTGAGAGTTACAGCGATGGTCATGAATCGCCGAGACTCGAGGAAACTTCCATGTAAGTTAAAATATGCACGTATTAATTCGTTTTCAATAAAAAAACGCATTACATGTTTGATTTATGGTTCAGATACAAGACTGAGGGGAGTGGGAAACAAGGACACAAAGAAAAAACTGAAGTATCGCATGGCTCTCATAATAAGTATGTCTCGAAACATGAATCTAAAGTAAAAATTTCCATCAAATTTCCCGTCGAATTTCCATCAAAGACTAATGACGATATTGCCAAAAGTTCGACCAGCGATTCGGAGAAGCAAAAGAAGCATGAGAAAAGTAAGCATAGCCACAAACATGAATCGAGAAGTGAGAAGAAATCGTCGAAGGATGCTAAAAGTGCCTCTAAGAAAGATGAAGCTCGTGGCTCGAAATATCATAGGGATAGTAAATCTGATAACGTAGAAAAATCCTCGATTAAGCCTGCTGATAATAACGTTGAAAAGAATAATAGAAAACGGAAGCATGATGAATCGAATGCTGAGAAGAAGGAAAGTAAACGGAAGAAGAACTCAGATAGCGAAAGTGACGAAGGTAGAATTACTAGTTCGGAGAAGCATAATAGTAGTACGATGTTGAACATGATTAAAATAAAAGAAGAGCCCCAGGATAAGGACGTGTCAAGTAAAAGTGAAATTAAACAGGAAAAGAAAGATTTTCACGAAAAATTAAAGAGTAGTTCCAGTAAGCATCGGGCTGATTCATCAAATAGCAAATCAAAAGACATTGATAAGAAACACAAGCATAAAAGTGAAACACACTCGAGCCATAGTAAAGACGAAGCTAAACGTATTGATCAAAATTCTAATAAGGAATCGTCAGAATCAAAGCATCAGAATAGTTCCTCAGGTAGTGATAAGCATCATGATAAAACGAAAGATAGAAGTAAGAAAAAAGATAGAGATGAAAAGAATAAGAGCGAGAGCAAGAGCAGCAAGGATTCGAAGCATTCGAAGCATAAGTCGAAAGAATCAAAAGACTTGACCAAGATTAAGCAAGAGATCAACGGCGACGAAGGGATTGACTGTCATTCTGGTTAGTTTCAACTAAAAGAAAGCATGCTTGCGATATTAATTTATGTGTTAAACATTTTATTTTCATAATACTAATTTATTATACGTACTAACAAATTTTCGTTATAAGTTAGAAG